AGCACGAGCCCACCGATGGGAGCAGCCTCCGCCGCCTATGCTTGGGACCCAGGGGCCGCTCCCCCTCCCCCGAGGCCTCCTCCTCCTCCTCCTCCTCCTCCTCCTCCTCCTCCTCCTCCTCCTCCTCCTCCTCCTCCCCCGCTCCTCCTCCCTTTCCTCCTCCTCCTCTCCTCCTCCTCCTCCTCCCCCTCCCCCTCCTCCTCCTCCTCCTCCTCCTCCTCCTCCTCCTCCTCCTCCTCCTCCTCCTCCTCCTCCTCCTCCTCGGTGGGAGTATGTTAGCGGCCGTCACATCTGCACGCTGCGCCGGACTGGGGCCAAGAGGGGGGACCGTTTTAGCAGCAACGGAGGTGCCAGCTTTCGCCCAGCTTCTGAGGTACAGTGCCGTTCTCAATACATGCTCCGCGTGCGGATCATGCATTCACCATGCAGGACTTTAATATTAAAAACAGCGATGCGCTCATGCATGGATTTAGTCATGCATTGATCATGTATTGAAAATCCCATATTGTTTAACATCCAATGTATCAAACGCTGCCCTGTATGATGTCTGGGAACGAGTTGGAGCACGTCCGCTGCCAGCCCCCGTCCCTCCTCCGCGCGCGCGCTCCTCGGGCCACGAGGCGCACCCCTTCCTCTTCCTGGCCCCCCCTTGTGTCTAGGCCTCCTGGCTTTCGGTGGCGGCAGAGAGGAGGAGGAGGAGGAGGAGGAGGAGGAGGAGGGGGAGGAGGAGGAGGAGGAGGAGGAGGAGGAGGAGGAGGAGGAGGAGGAGGAGGAGGAGGAGGAGTGGAGTGGGGTGGAGTGGAGTGGCAGATGGAGGGGCAGATGGAGGAGGAGGAGGAGGAGGAGGGAGGGAGGAGGAAGAGGAGGAGGAGGAGGCGGAGGAGGAGGAGGAGGAGGGGGAGGAGGAGGGGGAGGGGGAGGAGGAGGTGGGGGGGGGGAGGAGGAGGAGGAGGAGGGAGGAGGAGGAGGAGGAGGAGGAGGAGGAGGAGGGGAGGAGGAGGAGGAGGAGGAGGAGGAGGAGGAGGAGGAGGAGGAGTGGAGTGGAGTGGAGTGGAGTGGAGTGGAGTGGAGTGGAGTGGAGTGGAGTGGAGTGGAGTGGAGTGGAGTGGAGTGGAGTGGAGTGGAGTGGAGTGGAGTGGAGTGGAGTGGAGTGGAGTGGAGTGGAGTGGAGTGGAGTGGAGTGGAGTGGAGTGGAGTGGAGTGGAGTGGAGTGGAGTGGAGTGGAGTGGAGTGGAGTGGAGTGGAGTGGAGTGGAGTGGAGCAGTCCCGTAGGGAGTCCAAACGTCAACGGCACGGCGGCGGCGGCGGCGGCGGGGGCCGCGGTCCTGGAAGTTGTTGAACGGGGTCGCGCGCGGCAGCCGCGCGCACGGGGCGCGCTCGCTGCTACGCTCCCCGTTCTGCCTCCTTCCCACGGCCCCCCACCATCCCTCACCGCTGGGCCTGGCCTCTTCGGGCCTTTTCCGTCTTGCTTAAAGCCTTGGGCCATTTATGGGCCTTAATGTTATTAAGGTATTCTCGTCTCCAGGCTGGGATCTGTTCCGGGCACGGCTTGGCGAGATGATTCAATCTAAGGTGAGAGAATATCCGCACGCAATGCAGAACCATACTTCAAGGCCACTATGGTATTGCAACTGGTGCGAGGAATCAGCCCACCCCCCAGCCATATGCAAACGAGCCCCTCCTGGGAGAGATATATAAATACCCCCTAAACTATTCAGCTCGAAACACGGACTGTTGCGCCAAGCTTTGAGGTCGGATACCGCAGCCAAGCCACAACATCTTGTGCACCACTTGGGGGCTCACCTTTTTTTCGCGGACACTTATCAGCTTCGTTTTCTTGTTCCTTTTTCAGTGCATCCAGGGTAGAGCGCAACAACCGATGGCGAGCACATAATGTTTTTTCAATCGCGCAGATGCGTCCTCTGATATCAGCTGGGACTCTTGCTTCGTCTGGTGCAATCTCTGCCGTCTGATCTGCTGCTGCATTGCCGACAATCAACCATTCTGGGAACTTATTTGAGTGTACTGCCTCTCCGTCCAGATGGGAGTTGACAAAATCACAGAAGTCATGGAATCACATCTGGACTGCATTTCCTCATGTATTGTGGCCCATAGGTCGGCGTCAGGGCCGTCGGGCGCCTTCCATTTACCATCAGATCAGCCTGACACGACGCCCAAATTATCAGCAACATACACAAGATGACCGTGTGTTGCAGCTGGATTGCCTTTAAGAAGGCTCTCAGCTCTCCGCGGGCATCCGTTTTTCTTGGGCCTGCTAGAGGCCCGTGCACCGTTCCCACAAGAGTGAATTCTGGAGCATTCCTGGTTGGGGCAGCAGCTTGCACCAGTCCTACCCGCACCCTTCTGAGCTTCTTACTTCTGGAATCTGGTCAGCCACTGGCATCTCCGAAGAAGACGATGGGCACCGGTTTAATTCCTACAAGCCTCGACTCGTCCTTAGGCTCCAAGAGACCGCCTCCGAAACTCCAGATCTGCTCCTGAGTAGGGGTGTGTGTGGCTGTCCAAGGGGCTGGGATGATTTCTCGCAACCAGTAGCACTCCGCCGACTCCCACTGGGAGTGCGCCTTGACGATGTATGTCTCCGTGAGGTCATAAGCTTTCTTGCCAACATTTGTTTCGCAGCCCCATGTTCGATGGACCGGCGTCTCCTCTGGGTGTCCACATCTTGGGCATGTTTGACAAATTTTGCCTGGAGCCCACTGAGCCCGTCGGGATCTTGGCCATGTCCCTCCCGTCGCTATTGCCACCATTAGTTCAGATAATCGATGTCCGTCGGGAACGTCTCTCAGTTGTTTGACTAATTGTATATACGATTCCATATCAGCACCATTTTCCAAACCTCCGCAAAAATATAGGCTAGCCGTGTTCCAATACATATTTTGCCTATCCGTGCTGAATTCGTCCACTAGGTTGGCCGCCGTTTGTACGTTGACCCACTTGGTGAAAGCTGACTCTGGAAATTTCCACTCCATTTCCTCCCTCTCGATAATTGGAGGCCTTTACCAACTCTGCTGAGGTAGGGTTCCAGCCTGTCTCGAGGAGGTAGATGATCGTTGCGGTCATTGGGCCTCGTATATGTCGTACTCTTTTGCCTGCATCCATCTGTCTGAGGTATCGAACTTGATCGTCCCATAACGTCTTTGTGGCTGGCTGGAGATGTCGGCCCTCATGGGCCCACATTCGGAACCATAGCTGCAAACATTCTGCTGGCATCTTGACTCCTGGGTCTGCGTCGGGGCATTTGAGCGCCAGTAGTGTCGTTAGGCACCGTCCTGACGTGGGTGCCGCACTGATGGCTCCCAGTCTTTGTCTGAAAACTTGGAGATGTTTCCCGAACATTCCATGCAACTGATGACCGTACGAACCTGCTGCATATGATCCTTGGCGTTCCATCCTTTGCATTATCTTGTATTTTCTTGATGCATGGGCAAATGTTTTGATTTTTCTGTGCATGAGAGAAGTTTTGTCAGGAGGAGGAGGGGAGCGGGAGGGATATCGTGACGGGAACCCTGCGATCTCCCTGGAGTTCATGGCGCCTCTTCTTATCTCAATGCGTCCTTGCCCCCCCCCTGGGCCGCGCACATGCCGCTGGCCACGACTTGCGCTCCCCCCCCCTCTTGGACGCCCCCCTCTTGGCCCCCCCATGCGGCGCGGCGACGCATCACCGATGCATCGCCGATGCGGCGCGGTTTGCAGCCCGATGTGCTTCACGTCGACGTCGCCGATGCATCGGCGACGTCGACGAGGCATCGCCAGTTCCTCGCCGGTGCATCGCCGACGCATCGCCGATGCATCGCCGATGCATCGCCGTTGCATCGGCGATGCGGCGCGATTGTCCGACCCCATGTATTCCGGACCCATCTGGGAGGCCTCTTCCTCAGCAGCAGATCCTCGAAGAGCTCGACGCGCCGTCACGTAGCAGGTTCCTGGCATCGCTCGGACGTGTGCATGTTTTTCTCGGCGAGAGCTATTGAGGACGATCCTGGACCATCGAGCAGCAACAGAGCACGCACGAGACCGACGAGTGCACGGGAAGCGGACGTCCGAGCGGTGGCGAGGGCTGCATCCGGATTCCCCCGAGCTTCGCGAGTCCGAGAGTTGGAGCCGTTTCCCTCCAGACCTCCCGACCATGTTTGCAGGAGCGGCGACACGGAAAGACGGGGTCGCCTTCCTGCGCAGAGGCGCGAGCGCTGCCCGCGCAAGATCGTGCGTCCGCGCCCCATGGCAGTGTCCAGGGTGGTGCGCTGAGCGCGACGGTGAGGGGACAGCCCCCCCGCTCCACATGGGCTCGGCATCGCTCGGACGTGTGCATTTTTCCTTCGGCGAGGACCATCGAGGAGCATCCTTGATCCTTTGGCGACAAAAAAACACGCACGAGACCGACAAAAACAAACAGGGGATGGACGTCCGAGCGATGGCCAGGTGAGGGGACAGTCCCCCCGCTCCACATGCCACATGGGGGGGGGGGGACCAACCAGGGGGAGCGAAAGCTGAGCGCGCCGTCAGGTCTGGCTGCGAGGAGTCGGGACGACTTGAGAGAGGTTGAGCAAGTCCGAAGCAGGATGGGCAACATCGAGACAACTTGAGCTGTAGCTCGGGCCCCGAAGGCGGTTGGGTAGTGTTTTCGGCAGCGTCCGGGTTGCAACAGAGGTGGCCGGTCGCCCTGCTGCTTCCGCCGCCCCCACGCGGAGCTGCACGAGGCAGCGCCACGCCGGAAGGTCGGCGGAGTACCGCGGTTGGCCGCCTTCGGTGGCAACTCTTGGGAGCCTTGCGTGCCCCTGTGACTCTGTCTTCAGGAAGCGCACTCGCGTCAATCAGCGTCTGGCGGTCGATGAGATAGCACCGATGTGGCGTTGACTAGCGTCGACTTAGCGTCGATGAGCGCCGATTGGCGTCGGTTCGCAGGAGCCAACGCGGTGGTACGGGAGGCTACCACGAGTTGCCACCGAAGGGTCGGTGCAGCGCCGCCACGCCCGCAGGCCCTTCTCGTGGAGTACGAGCGCGAGCTGCCGGCGGTCCTCGCGCAGGCCGGCCCGGGCAGCTCTCCCCACGCCTCTGGGCTGGCCGCGCCGTGCTGCCGGCGGACGCCCCGCCCCGCCTTCAGAGCAGCAGGGAACCTCCATGGCTCCATGGGCTTGGCATCGCTCGTTTTTGGGGGGGTTCTTCCCGTCCGGAGGGGGGAAGCGTTCCCTCTTTCCGGAAACAAGTCACACTGGGCAGCGGTGTGGGTGCCTTCCAGGTGCCCATACCCCTACCCTTCCCTCGTTTCTCCCTGTTGGGGCTACCCTTCCCTCGTTTTCCCCTTTGTGGAGCCTCCTGGGAGGCCTTCGTCGCCACCGCCGGATTCGCTTCGAGGTCCTGGTCAGAACGCGCCCCAGGAGAGGTTCAGGGAGTAGCGGTAAGGGTACCTTTTCGCCGCCCCATTTCGGGTGGTGCTAGAAGTGCCCCTGGTCCAAGCTGCCCTCAGCTTTCCGCTCCATTTTGTGGCCCCTGGGGCCCTCTGGGGGCCAGGCCTTGTGAGGGGTGCTCTGGAGGCCGACATAGGCCATCCCGAGAATCTTAGGGGCACCTTGGGCAAGGGGTTGTTAGCAACAACCGACCATTTTGCCCCGGCGAGGACCATCGAGGAACTTTTTGTTGGTCCCTTCGCGAGAAAAAAAAAACGCACGAGGCCGAAGCATGCAAGGGGAATGGTGATCGTTTTCGTATTCATTACTTTGCCGATCGGTGCGGTCCCTCGCACCCCCTCCCCCCCCATGGAAGATGTTGGCCCTTGTTGGCGCCTGTTTGGAGCAGGTGGAGGCTGACCCACTGGGAGGCCCCAGGGTCCAGGACCCGTTGCCATCAGGAGCCGTTTCCACCGTGCTAGAGGGAGTCGTTATGACGTGAACGATACGTAGTCCGAATCACAAGCAAAGGCATGAACAGCATTTCTCGGAGGCCCGCGTGGACTTCTTGTATTGGCGCTGGGGCCAGGGAGGGAAGGCCAGCGTCTTGTGCCCCTGGTAGCTCAGATGGCGAATTACCTTCCCCGCGTGCGCTTCCGCGCAAATCCCAATCGTACCACGCGCTTCCTCGTCAAGCAGCCTGACCGTCGCGGGCCACTCCAGGGGTCGCCTTGTCTTGTTTGGCTTCCGTTTGGAAGCAAGGATTGCGAAACGCGAGGCAGATTCGCTTGCTTCTTCGGAGCACCCCGCCCTTCCGCACAAGCGCCAAGGTTAGCATTCAAGTATTGCCCCTACGTACTGCCGCCCAGAAGTGTTCGCCCAAGTCTTGAACCAATGCTTTGCCCTCAAGTATCGCCCCCAAAATACTACCCCAAAAGACGGCTCCCACGCATCGCCCCTAAGTGTCGCCCCCACGCATTGCCTCGATCCAGTCACGCCTGCGCAGGGAACAGGCAAGGACGCTCGGCCCCCCTCACCCTGACGTTCCGTAGAGCCTGTTGGCTACATTCTTTGGCGTCCAGGTGCTTCGCACAGCCTCAGCGAGTCTCGCAATGGCCTCGGCATAGGCTCGGAGCCACAGCCTTGCATTGCCACGGATAGCCGTCGAGATGCCTAGGACATGGACCGGGTGGCCAGGCCGGAGGGGCAGAGCAGCCCCCCCTACCACGAGTCCGATATAGTTCAGATACGGTAGGCTCATGCGGCGATGGCGCGCATGCGACGCCGGCGAAGGTGTTCGAGGTTGATTCCCGCAGAGTAGAACGACGCTGAAGCACTGAGGGGCACGGTAACGCCGCAGGGCCCGACGGAATTCAACCTGGAACGGTCTGGGCTGCGATCGATTCGAGGTTGAGCGATCGACGCGGTGTCAACAGCCTTTGCGCGTACCGATGCCGCACACATTTACCGTACAGTCGACCCGGATTAGTGGGTCGACCCTGCCAGCCCAAGGGTACCTTTGTATCCTGTGCCTCGCGACACGTGCCTTCTTACACTCCTATGGCGATGTGGCCCTCGGAAGGGTCTTGTGTCCTCTCGCCTGTCCTATCCAATCAAGACCGACTGTACGCTTCAGGACCTCCTATCGTGCCGCCTCCCTGTTCCCCCACCCTGATCCTTCTGGTCCCACCGCCCCTCCCCGATCCTGCTCCGGCCCCTTCCCCGTTCTCTTGCCCTTCCGCCGCCTCGCTCTCGACGCTTGTTGTCTGACTGTGAGAGGTTTTTGCTCTGGTCGTCATCCCCCCCTCTCGGGTTGCCGCGTGCGATGTGATCATACAATTTCGTATTTTACCATGCGGTATTCGTCGTCGTCGTCCTTCTCCCCCTCCTCCTCCTCCTCCTCCTCCTCCTCCTTTTTTTTTTTCTCCTCCTCCTCCTCCTCCTCCTTTTTTTCTCCTCCTCCTCCTCCTCCTCCTCCTCCTCCTCCTCCTCCTCCTCCTCCTCCTCCTCCTCCCCCCTCTTCCGTCCTTCTCCTCCACTTCGTTCTGCCCATGGCCTGCTCTTCTTTGCCCTCTCCCCCTCTCAGTCCCTATCCACCGTTTCTCCTTCTCGGCCACCGCCGCCGCCTTCGTCCGTTTTCGCTCGCACAGCAGAGCCGTCTCCGTGGCCATCATCTGATATCCGTGCTTCTCTCCTGCTTTCTGCATGCCGGCGTGCTTGCCTAATCCGCAGGTTGGTACGATCGACATGTCAAGCAGTGGCGAAGCGCCTTGGCGTGCCGAGAGGCCCACCCAACAATGTTCTGAGAACTGTTGGTGTTTCGACGAACTGTGCTCAGAATATTTCTGGCTGGGGCCGTCTTGCTTCAGAACATAGTTTTTGTTCTGAGAACATTGCTGGGTTCTATGAGCATGCCGTGGTAGGCTTACAGGAATGCCCAGACGGTCGGACCCTGCTCAAACATGGGTACGGAAGAATAGGAAAGCAGATTGACAGCAGTTTCCCAGCAACTCTAAACAGGGCTCGCTGTCAGTGCCGCCGCGGGCGTTGTCCATTGGGACACAAGGCCGCCTGTCAACAGCGGCCGCAGCCAGTTGCGGACAACAGGTGCCGTTGGGAATTCTACAATTTAGTCTGGCGCTATTTTGGGCGTCCGAGGCGCAGAGGGAGGTTTGCCATGAAGGAAACGGGTCTTGAGGTTTGTTTTGTTGCCGTTTTGAGCCTCCTTGGCCCGACGTTCCCCAGCGAACTTTTCAGGGGTCATGCGGACCCCCTAAAGAGTTCGTGTGCGTTGTGTGGTCGTGTTTACATATTCCACGCGTGTAGAGTAGGTTGTGCTCCTCGCCAAGGTAGTGGTTGTGGTCCCGTTGGGGACCTGCATAGAAAACGGGTTCTGCATGTCTGAGCTATCTTAGGAGCCCATTCTGGGACTGTGTAGCAATCCTTTTGGGTCGCAGTCGAGGCGGAGGCTAAGTTTGGAAACCTTGGGCCCGCATTGAGGCAGCAGCGAGGACGGTCGTTCCCACAAGACTCCGCACACATTTCGGCGTCGCGCCGAATGATCAGGCAGTGGCGAAGCGTCCTGGCTCACCTATGGGCCCACCGTAGAATGAGCTAATAATCTTTTGTGGCCTGCACGTACATGTTTTTAGAGCATTGTTGGCTGGGACTGTCTTGTTTTGGCACATCGGGCTCATGTTCTAAGAACATCGTTTTGTTATTGAATCGCTTCGCTCATTCCGCCGGCCCTCGAGCGCTCTATGGGGCCTCTTTGAAGCCTCTTGGGGGCCTCTTTTGGGCCTCCTGGGGGCCTCTTGGGGGCCTCTTGGGGGTCTCTTGGGGCTCCTTGGCGGCGTCTTGGGGCTCCCTTGGGCCTCTTGGGGGGCCCTTGGGGGCCTCTTGGGGCGGGGTAGTCGAGTGCACCCCCATTCGGAGGCCACGATCCGCGTGAGGGTTGTCGAAACAAAGGCCCTCAAAACCCCATCTCTGGTTAGACTTGGTCGGGCTGCGGCCGGGATACTTTTCGCCGGGGGACCACCAGGGGTCGCCCCGCGCGCGCGAACTAGAAATGTTGTTAACCAGTTAGCGGAGATCTTAGCACGCCTCTGGCCCGTTGGGCCGGCGAATTCGAGCACGTCTGGGTTCTACGAACATTTTGTGGTAGGCCTATAGGAATGTTGGGACGGTCCGTCCCTGCTCAAAAGGAGGAAGTGAGATGATGCAGGCCTGCTCTGCCCATCGAGAAGTCGTATGTGGCTTCGGAGAAGGCTTAGACGTCTTCTCAGAAGTCCTCCTCGTCCTCCGCCTCCTTCTCTTCCTCATCCTCCTCCATCTCCTCCTCCCCTTCCCCCTCCTCCTCCTCCTCCTCCTCCTCCTCCTTCTCCTCCTCCTCCTCCTCCTCCTCCTCCTCCTCCTCCTCCTCCTTCCCCTCCTACTCCTCCTCCTCGGGTCGCCTGCGGCCCCGGGGGACACCGTGTCTCAGAAGCCGGAGGCCTCGTGCTGGGCATCGCTCGGACGTGTGCATTTTTTCTCGGCGAGAGCTATCGAGGGCCATCGTGGGCCATCGAGCAAACAAAAACACGCACGAAGCCGACAAATGCACGGGAAATGGACGTCCGAGCGACGGCAAGCGTGAGCCTTCTGAGAAAGCCCACCCCCCCGCTGCTTCCCGCCCCTTGAGCGCGCCGCGCCTCGGGCGGGCCGCTCCCGGCCCGCGCTCGCTCCAAGCCCTGCGCCCCGCGGGGGGCTCCAGAGGGCCGGGAGCGCTTTCGGGGGCAGCCCTTGACTGGGCCTGCCGGATGAGGCCGAGTACAGTCGGCCCAGAATAGTAGGTCGACCCTGCCAGCTCAAGGGTACCGTTGTTCAGAGCCCCGAATCATCAGGAGTAACTCGGGTCAGGGATAACTCGGGTTCGGTTTTCGGGAATCCAAACCCGAGTTACCCCGGACCCGAGTTACCCCGGATAACTCGGGCGTCCAGAGCCCCGAATCATCAGGGGTAACTCGGGTCAGGGCTAACTCGGGTTCCTTTTTCGGGAATCCAAGCCCGAGTTACCCCGGACCCGAGTTACCCCGGATAACTCGGGCGCCCAAGTTGTGTCCTGTGCCTCGCGACGCGTGCCTTCTTACACTCCAACGGCGATGTGGCCTTCTGAGGGGTCTTGTGTCCTCCCGCGTGTCCTCTCCAATCAAGTCCGACTGTAGATTCAGGCGATCGAAAACATGGATCAAGGCGGCGTGGATTAGCGACGGGCCCCGTCGAACGAGGCGGCACCGGCCGCATTTTGGGGAGGGCAGCTCCCCCGATCCATGGATTTGGCGGCCGCGCGCCAAATTCATGGATCGCTAATCCATGTTTGCGCGCCCCTGGTAGATGGGGTTGAAAGGCCGTTCCGAATCGACGATGCATCGGTGATGCGTTTCGATGTGGAGCCAGAGCCTCTTCACGCCGACGGCGCCGATGCGCCGGTGACGTCGCCGATGAAACAACGATGCGCCCAGGAGGAATGAACTCACAACGTAAAAGCCACATGAGGGACTTGACCTGCCAGATTATGTAGACCGCGCCCATAGTTTGCGACCCATCAGTTGAGCGGGACCACGAACAGCGGGGAGTGTGAGGAGGATCCTTCGTGGAGGCCCCCTGTCCAACACGCCCTATTCAAGTAATCTGCGTTTTCTGTCCAGAAGGCCTCCAGATGCTTGAAAACAACCTGGCAGGGCGTAAAGATGACGTTCGGATGGCCCATCAGCCGCCTAACTTCTAAGACCACGCGAAGGTCCACAGCATGGCGCTGAGGTGGCTGGAACGGTCTCTTACCTGGGTTTTCGCAGGGCCCCCGAGGGGAGCGAAGGCGCTTCCTGCCCCTTAGCTGGCCAGATTGAGGGGTCCAGTCGTCCGCTTGCTTGTTCGGCTGGTCAGAAGTATGTACTTGAGAATTTGGTGTCGTGCGTTTCCCTGGCATCTGTCGTCGTGGAGACATAGTGACGGAAGGTTTTCCTGTGTTTTCGGCCCTTGTGGATCTTTACCGCGCCAAGGGATCGTCAAAAGACGACTCGGGATGATCAGCCGGTTCCCAGCACGGAGTCCAGAATTCTGCGGGCACGTTGTGAAACATCACGACGTTGGATGTTTGGGGTTGCCATGGAGCCGGCCAGTCAATCAGGCAGGAGCAAGTAGCATAGTGAAGGGTGTGGAGGTTGAATGTCGCGTCGTGTTTTGCTCCCTTTTGCCCGCGGCTCCGTCGAGGCTTCCGTGTCCGACGAGCGAGTCAACGAGCTCGTGGACTGCGTCGATGTCTCTGGGACGCAGGGGTGGTATTGGCTTCGCTCGAAGAAGAAAGGCCAGAATTTCAGCCGTTCGAAGGCCCGCGCGGACTTCATGGATCTGCGTTGGACCCGGCCGCCGGCGCCTTACGCGCCGCCTTTCGCGCGCTCGACGCGTCATCGAGGGGGATCCAGCGCCGATCGGAGAAATCCGCCTGGACATCTGTATTGTATGTTTATGTGGTGTATCTTGTTCCCACGTGCTGAACATGAAGTCTTGAGTGATATCACGCGTTTCAGGTTATGCTTACAGCACCATGTTATGCGCTACGCTGCCAGAGTATCTCCAGGAGGGTAACAGGATTGGCCACGTACCCCTCAGATGTTTGATATGTTCGTCGCTCTGGGCGCCTTCCCCCCCGGAGGAGGGGGGGGCGTTCTCAAAGTGTGGATCTCGCTTTATTGCCACGCGCATTCGTCCTGGCAATTTGCACCACTTGCACGGGTAGAGGGCGGATCGTGTTCAAGATGTGGTTGCCGCCTCCGTGCAGCGCGTTTCGCCGTGTGGAACGATGCTCGCAGTTGGGCTTTATTGAGGGGGTCGGCGTATCTCCAGGAGGGCAGCAGCATTTCATACTTGATCTGTTCGCCTCATCCGTATTTGTCCTCCAGATATTTGATCTGCTCGTCTCACCGAGGCTGGGTAGTCGAAGGCCAGACTGTCAGATTGGATTGGGCCCCAAGGGTCAATCTGGCCTGGCCAAACTGGAGGATTGGGGTTATTCGCCAGACTGGATTCGCGTTGGCTCCCTCGTCAGATTGCCCCCGTTTGCCAGATTGGGCCTGCCAGATTGGCGCCAGATTGGCTTCGACTACCCAGCGAGGGTGTTACCCTTCAAAGGTCTTCGACACCGCCCCACCGAGTCGAGGCGGGGCAGGGGTCGGCACAGGCCAGAGTGCGGCTCGGTATAGTTGCGACGTGCGCCTGTGCTGCATGCCCGCGAAGCCTTACAGGGCTTCGTCTCCCGCGCTCCCATGCCGGCTCCCTACCAGGGAACGCTTGCGCTCGTCTGGCCACCGGGCGTGTGGGCAGGGCGGGCTCGAACAGTTCTCAATTAGGTCTACCCGTCGTTCGCTGAAAGCATGTTTTTTTGGGGGATTCCCAGATTCCGATCTACTTTCAGCGCCTTCCTATTTCAATGATCAAGTGGCTTCACCTTTCTCCCGTCCTCTTTCGGGGGCGGACGGAGCCCCGTATATATTCAACGCTTTCTTTGTTAATTGTTCTGTCTACTTCTTCCGACTGATGGGTATGTATACGGATTGAGATGGGTGATCTTCAAGCGCCACGCACATTCATTTTCAAAGACATCAGACAATTGCACATAATGGAGTTCTCTGTCACAACGTGGTTCTCGCCTCAGTGCAGCGTGCATGTGTTCTGAAGGCTCCAGCAGTTACACGGATGGAGGGGGAGGGGATGTAGGGGTCTTTTTGGGGGCTCTTTTGGGAGGTCTTGGGCCCTCTTGGCGCTCTCATGGGGGCTTCTTGGGAGCCCCGGAGGAACTCGTGAGGCCATCTTTGAGGCTATCGATCAAGGGCGGGGGGTCCTCGATTTGCCTCCCCCCCTGAGGCCATTAACCTCGCCTCTTGGGGCCCTCTTGGGGTGCCTTTGGGCTGCTCTTGGGCGCTCTTGGGGCCGTCTTGGGAGCATCTTGGGCCCATCTTGGGGCTCTCTAGGGCCATCTTGGGGTCATCCTCTGGCTGCAATGACGCATCTGAAGCGAAGGGGCCAGGAGAGAACCATCATGTATTTTCCGTTGGTTGTTGAGTGATGTTAATTTCTCGTGGGGGTCTTGAGAGGGAGCTCCGGGAGGACCTGGAGCAGTCTCGCGACTCTTGTCAGGCCTCTTAGAGGCATGTCGTAAGTTATCTCAAGAAGCCTTGGAGGCCATTTAAGAGCATCGGAGGCCCTCTTGAAGCCATCTTGAGTGAAACAGGACCCTCTAACCCCTCGCGGCCCGCCAAAAAAACACCTCAGGGAGGCGAGGGGGATGGAACCCCTCAGATGGCGAGGGAAAGAACTCGTTAGACCACCTCGGCCTAAAGGACTGGGGGTTATACAGCATCATTGATACGTCTCCTCCTCCTCCTCCTCCTCCTCCTCCTCCTTCTCCCTCTTTATCATCGTCCTCTGCTTCTTCGTTCTGCTTCTTCCTCGTACGCCTGCCTCCTCGTCTCATTCCATGTTTCTCCCTTTTTCCATCATCATCATCATCATCATCATCATCATCATCATCATCATCATCATCATCATCATCATCATCATCATCCCCCTCTCCATCCTGCAGATCGGGCCAGTGAGTATTGGGGCATGCATCTGTCAGGGGAGGAAAAACACCGCGACCCCCATAAGTGGTGTTTGCAAGCTTTCTAATCTGGGATGGGGTTGGACCAGGGCCTCCCTGAGGGTGTGTGTCTGTGTGTGTGTGGATCACGCAGGGGGCCGGGCTCTGCGCCCGTTCGTGGGGTGGGGGGCGCTCGAGGGAGCGCTACACGTGAATACATGCGCTCTGCTTAGCGTTAAGCCGGGCATGCCCCTCTACAGGAGGAACATTACAACATTGCCTTACAATAGTGTGGGGGACTTTTTTAATTAAGCAAGAAGTCTGTTTGGATTACGCTTATGTTCGAGTACGTTCGACTCTTTTCTTCATGTATATTCCAAACTCCGCCTGAAGGAGGACATGCCCAACCTGAGTTCAGCGACGGGCCCGCTGCCACACACGGAGAGCCAGCGGCGCGCACCGTCAGCGTCGCACATGCTGGAGGTACCGGCCTCCTTTTTGGGGGGGCCATTTTCCCCCTGCACAGAACAGGAACAGGTACCCATACTGATGGGCACATGTTCCACCACCACTACCACATGTAGGTCGTTGAGAAGGGAGGATGAGGATGTCCTCCTCCTCCTCCTCCTCCTTCCTCTCCGACCTATGGTAGTGGTGGTGGAAAATGGGCCCATCACATACCGCTACCCTTCTCTCGTTTTCCCCGTGTTGGGCCTCCTGGGAGGCCCTCGTCGCCACCGCTGGAGTCGCCTCGAGATCCTGGTCAGAGAGCCCCTCCGGAGAGGTCCGTGGAACAGTGGTGTCGGTACCTTTCGATTTCCCCACCTGCGCCCATGCTCACAGATTTTGTCTCGTAGGGGGAGTTGGATGTGGAGGAGGAGGTGGAGGAGGAACGGCCTCCATGGACCCCACGAGATGGCTTGGGAGGGTGTGGAGGAGGAGGAGGAGGAGGAGGAGGAGGAGGAGGATGTTTCCAGGAGGAGGAGGAGGAGGAGGATGTGGAGGAGGAGGAGGAGGAGGAGGAGGAGGAGGAGGAGGAGTCACTGGGAGCGGCGGTCACTGTGCCCGTGTCCGACGCAGATCTGTTCGGCGCGGATTCGGGGCGCCGCTTCGGCATGGATTCGGCGCGGCGGCGCGGGTGCTGTGCGGATTCCTTGCGGGTATTGCGTCAGCGCGACGGGACAGGCAGATGCCGGGCCCCCCCCCCCTCCCCGAAGATCACCACCCACCAGACCACCCCAACCCAACCCGAAGGCCCCGATTTGCCCTCCATTTCCAGTTGGGGTTGGGGGGGGTCGGGGAACATGGAAAAACACATATGAAGCCCGTACCCCCCCAACCCGAAATTCGGGTCTTCGGGCTGGGTTGGGGTGCTTTGGTACGGTAGGTTCGCGTCGTGTCGACCAGCGGCGACCCCAGCGCGGGCGTTCAAGGTTGAACGCCGCCGGCGACCCAGAATCGATCGATGTTGAACGATCGGACGTTGCGGAGACGGCCGATCGTTCAAGGTTGAACGATCCAGCGCGGTGTCAAAAACCAACGCTGGGGTCGGCACGACACGAACCCGCCGTAGGTAGTCAGAAGATGCCACATGACGCTCCGCTTCCTCCCCACGCTCCGCCCTCGTGCCCGCGCTCGGCGCGAGCCCGCGCGTACCGGCGCTGCGACACGCCTGCGGTCAGCACGCCGACATCTGGACCTCTTTCCTCCCTGAGATGATCGCGTCCGGAAAAACCACAGACTTCTATCTCCCCGGACATGTGCGCGTCGTGAAAACTCAAGACGGAAGGTTTTTGGTTGATTTCGGCCTCTGGGAGCCCTCGCCAGGCCTCGGGACCGTCAAAAAGCGACTCCGAATGAAAAACCGGCCCTGGAGAAAGGGTCGGGACTTCCAGGGGCCCCGAGTAGAACAACATCAGGACGTCGCATGTCTGGGATCGCTTCGTCCACTGCGCCGGCCCATTTTGCGCACCCCTGTCGGCTGGCCGAGGGGTCGCCTGCAGCGTGGAGTTGGCTGCGGCGGGGGCTGTATTTGTGAGGCGTTGCGTTTTGCAGGATGTTGGGGCTGAAGCAGGTCCCGTGGAGCATCTCGTATGGCTGGTGGAGTCTCGTGGGAGGCTTCTCGAGGGCGTTCTGGAGGCAGTTTTCCTCTGGGAGGCCTCTGGGGGGCGTCTTGGGAGCGTTTTGAGGCTCTCTTGGGGCTCCCTTGGGGTCTCTTGGGAGTTGTTCGGGCCCACGACGGGCCCTCGCTTTCGAGCCGCTGCTTTGGCTCCGGTCGGCGAGCCCGTGCGCGCGGCCGAGGCTCGCCGCGGCCAGCGAAAAAAAAGCCCGCAGCATTCTGCAAGGCCTGACTGACCCGGGTCTGGATTGACCGGGGTCAGAAGATCACCGACACAGGGCACGGTCTGTCGATCGACCGGCCGAAGATGGATCAGTGTGCGACGAGCCGCGCGGCGTCCAGGGCCACCGCCAGGGTCGCCACGGCGCGACGTTGCCGCACGTGCCCTAGCGTCCCTCAAGCAGTGGCGAAGCGTCCTGGCTCGCCGATCGCCCTACCAAAGAGTGTTCTAAGAACCTTTTGTGGCTTCCACGCAATGCTCTTGGAACATTTCTGGTGGAGCCTGTCTCGTTTTAACACATCGGTTCAACGTTCTAAGAACATTCGTTCTGTTCTTAGAACATGTTTGGGTTCTACGAACAAAAACGTGGTAGGACTACAGGAGTGCCGGGACGTTCGGTCCCTGCTCAGGTCCCGCCGCCCCCCTTGTTCGGGGGCACTTCAGCAGCACCCGGCCCGTCCCGACGCCCGGCGCCCCCCCGCGAGCGCCCCCCTGCCTGCCGCAGCACGAGCGCGCGGGCCGCCGAGCAGAGCCTTGGGGCCGGGGAGGGACGGCATGGTGAACTACATGGAGTTCCTCCACGCCTTCCAGCCGGCCCGCGCCCCGGCGCCCGCCTGGCCTGGCTCGCGGGGATCAAGCAATGGCGAGGCGTCCCGGCGTGCCCAAAGCCCTACCGAACAGTGTTCTGTGAAGAGCCCCCCTTGTGGTTCCCACGAAATGTTCTTAGAACATTTCTGGTGGAGTCTGTCTTGTTTGATCACGTCGGGCTTATGTTCTAAGGGCATTGTTTGTTCTTAGAACATCTTTTGGGTTCTAAGAACGAAAACGTGGTAGGACTATAGGAATTCTGGGAGGTGGAGGCCCCGCTTGCCTGAGGGGAGGGGGGGGGCCCACCCCTCGCGACATCGCTCGAGCGTGGGCATTTTTTCTCGGCGAGGACCAGCGAGGAGCTTCTTTCTTTGGTTAACCAAACAAGAACAAGAAGAAGAAGAAGAAGAAGCATAAGGACAAGACAAGGCACGCACGAGACCGAATAATGCATGGGGAATGGACGTCCGAGCGATCCTGACGCCGCCTCAGAGCCGCCGGATCTCGGAGATCCCCGCGTCGTCCGCGTCCGATGTCGTCCTGCTTGTGTGCTAATTGCGGTGGAAACCCAGGCCAAGGACCACCCTGCTCGCCTCCAGGGTGCCCTGGGTTTTACGGTTTCGATGGTTTTGCGATGGAAAGCGTGACGTTCCTCCACCAAGAATCCATGGACGTCCTGGGCATCCAAGGATGGTTTTTTTGTGGAAGGTCTTCTGTGGTCGAGCTCCCACAGCTGCTTTTACCATCGTTCTTGCGGAGGTTTCCCAGAAGTTGCCCCCAAAACACAAGGAGCTCGCGGCGTCCCTGAGTACTGTCAACCCGCATAGTAAGGATGGGCAACCTTCCCAAGGGTATCATTGCATCCTTCCCCTTCGGCCCATCATTGGCCGCTTTCTCTGGCCGCGCCCCACCCGCAGAGTGTCGACATAGCCGTCCAAGGCCCTTGCATCCTCGCCGCGCATTCTTATTATACGGGTTGATTGCACAGGCGTCGACGACGAGGACAGTGACAACGGCGGCAGCGGCGACGGCCGACGAAGGTGGCGTCGACAGCGACGACGGCGACAACGATGCAGCGAAGGCCAACAGCTTGTCGCCTTGTGAATTGGCCTCCGCCTTGGAGCAAGCCTTGGGCTGTATGCCTCCCAGATGGGGTCGGAGTAGATGGGGTCGGAGAACCGCGCCGCATCGCCGATGCGGCTCGATGTGGAGCCCGATTCGCTTCACGCCGAACATCGCCGAGGCATCGCCGACGCCGCTGATGTATCGCCGATGCATCGCCGATGTATCGCCGATGTATCGGCGATGCGGCGCGATCTTCCGACCCCATCTACTCGGACCCCATGTAGGAGGCCTCTATCATGGGAGCAAGCCTGGGGCGGCGACATTGAGCTCAGCCATTCCTGCATTCTGGCCGCATTTGTACCACATTTAGCCTTTCCTCCCGCTCTTCCTCGCCCGTTCTGTTCCCCCCCCTGTCGCCTGTGTGACGGGTCGTACATCTGGTCCAAATCCGGCCCGGAAAGTGTTCCAAGTTTGGCTCAAATCCGAACCAAATCGGGCTGCGCGGGGGGCAGGCCCTGACTCAAACGATGTCTTGTCGATTTCGTGAACCGTGTTCGTTTCGACTGGTGATTTGGCAGAGGCGGGTCGAGGACAGAACGAGGGAGAACGGATATCGAACGAGCACGGAAATCACAGCTCAGGTCGAGCTTTGCCGGGGGCCACATCGGGTCCCATGCCATAGACACCAGCCTTACCGTCCAGAGTGCAAGAAGTAGCCCTCCAGACCAATTGCCCTTTCTCGACTGCTTCAGGCCTCGACTGAAGTTTTGACGTCGAGGTCACGGTGCTATTTTTCTGCACCTACGAAATATGTACGGAAAGAATGGGTACAATGCCCAACAGCAGTTCCTGCTCATGTTGACAGGAAGCCGCCTGCCCAACAGCGGGCGCTGTTGGTTTGGGACAACATTTGTTGTTGGGCATTGTACCCATTTTGTTCCGTACCCTTTTCGGGCGTCCATGAAGCAGTGGCGAGGCGTCTTGGCTCGCCTACAGGCCCACCGAAGAGTGTTCCAGGAACCCTTCTAGTGGTCTGCACGACGTGTTCTGAGAACACGTCGTGGCAGGCCTGCAGGAGTGCCGGGACGGTCGGTCCCTGCTCAGTGGCTCGTCGCGTGCCGCCCCCCGCGAGGATCCTCAGGGCGTGCGGTCCCCTCACTCGTGGGTCACCCGCTTCTGCCTGTGTCGGCCGTCGCCGCACCATCTGCCCATTTCGGGCGTTCAAAATTTCAGCCCTCCGGGAGGTTCAGGGCGGAGCCGCCCGGCAGGCCGCCGTGCTCGCCTCATTCGGCGCGCGGCGGCGGCCCGCAGTGCTGCGTGCGGGGGGGGGGGCAGGGCAAGAGGGGAGGAGGAGGAGGAGAAGCAGCAGGAGCAGGAGGAGGAGGAGCAGGAGCAGGAGGAGGAGGAGGAGACGGAGGAGGAGGGGGAGGAGGAGAAGGGAGCAAGAGCAGGAGGAGGAGGAGAAGGAGGAGGAGGGAAAGCAGGATCACGAGGAGGAGGAGAAAGAGGAGTAGGAAGATGAGCAATAGGAGGAGGAGGAGGAGGAGGAGGAGGAGCAGCAGCAGCAGGAGGAGGAGGGGGAGGAGGAGCAGGAGGAGGAGTACGATCATGATGACGATGATGATGATGCTGATGATGATGATGAGGAGGAGGAGGAGGAGGAGGAGGAGGAGGAACATGAGGAGAGAAGGAGGATCACTGACCAAACTGCCAGGTCTGCGAGCGGGCCGCCATTGAGCAGTCCCTCGGGGCCGTTGGCCGCATTTGGGACTGCCAACGGGGGACACCCATTGCTTGGGGAGACCCCAAGTCGCAGCCTGTTTATGGGAGATGCTAGCGAGGTCCCGCCCTGGCTAGCAGCCCCACATCGAAAGCAAGCTTGGGCTACCAGCCCTGGGACGGGGGAGGAGGAGGTAGAGAGGAGAGCGCAAGGGGGGGGGGCAGTGGGAGCCGGCGGGAACCGAAGGGGGAAGGGGGGGCAGACGAGGCGGGGGAGAGCGAGGAGGCAGGATGGCGTCCCGCCTCTGAAGAGCTGGACGGTCGGGTTGGGACTGGCTCGGGTTGGACAAGGGATGTGGGGACGGGGGCGCTTCGTTGGTGGCTACGCCTTAGCAATTTGGACCCAGCCTACATGGATCCCCCTAGTGTTGGCAATATCTTGTCTACCTAGTCGGCGTGCTACCAGAACTCAAGGCTTATGTGATGAGTCGGGCAAGCCGAAACAACGGACCGCAGGCTAGTTGGGCATGCGCAGCATAGCCGTAGCCCGAAGTCCTAGCAGAGTTCCAGTGTGGACGGCATTAGTCTTGCCTACCGAGTACTGCTTGCCACCAGAACTCAAGGCTTATTTGTTGAGTCGGGCCAGGCGAAACAACGGACCGCAGGCTAGATGGGTATGCGAAGCATAGCCGTAGCCCGCAATCCTGGCAGAGTTCCAGTGCGGACGTCACTAGCCTCACCTGCCTAGTGCGGCTTTCTGCCAGAACC